CCCACCAAAATCGGCGCGAACGGGCTCGTGAGATCAGCCAGGGTGGCTCCCCCTTGGGGCTCCCAAATGATGCCCCTGGCAGCGTTTTGTGACCATGAGGCTCTCAAGAGAGACATGTTGGGGAGGCCAAACGGCAATTTAGCTGAGACGTCCCACCAAAATCGGCGCGAACGGGCTCGTGAGATCAGCCAGGGTGGCTCCCCCTTGGGGCTCCCAAATGATGCCCCTGGCAGCGTTTTGTGACCATGAGGCTCTCAAGAGAGACATGTTGGGGAGGCCAAACGGCAATTTTAGCTGAGACGTCCCACCAAAATCGGCGCGAACGGGCTCGTGATATCAGCCAGGGTGGCTCCCCCTTGGGGCTCCCAAATGATGCCCCTGGCAGCGTTTTGTGATCATGAGGCTCTCAAGAGAGACATGTTGGGGAGGCCAAACGGCAATTTTAGCTGAGACGTCCCACCAAAATCGGCGCGAACGGGCTCGTGATATCAGCCAGGGTGGCTCCCCCTTGGGGCTCCCAAATGATGCCCCTGGCAGCGTTTTGTGATCATGAGAGAGTGTGAGTGAAATCTCTTATCTTGTCTTAGCTTATCTTATAACAACTCATCTTATCGCATCATATCTTGTCTTATCGTATTACTCCATAGGCTGTCTGATCTTATCTATTATCCTACCTTGTCATATATCTTATCTTACCTTATCATATATTGTGCTATCTTATCTTATCTTGTAGTATCTTATCTTGTCTTGTCTTATTTGGTGATTATCATTGGGAGGAGGGAGGCGCGAGCGGGAGGAAGGAGGAGCAGTGGGAGGCGTCAGAGTAATAACAAGAACCCCAATCCTTAGGATATGGGGAAAAAACATTCATCCTGGATCCCCAATTCCCTGGCCGCCACAAAAGGATTCCTTATGCAGCGCGTTGCAATAGGATTCTTTTTGCGGGGGATGTCGTTTGGATTCCTTTTGTGGAGTATTCCAATCGGATGTGTTTTCTGCCCCCCGCGGCCAAAAAAAACGAACTTCGTTTTTCGGGGATTCCTTTTTGTGAAATATTTCGATCGGATACTCTACTCTCCCGCTCCCCAAGAAAAAAGAAAGAGGAAGCAAGAGAAAAAGCTCGGGACCCTCTGGAAGTGGAGTCGCCCTTCCCGGGGACCATTTGTTGATCCTGGGCAGTCTTTGCTTACGGTCCCTGCCCCAGTAAGAGGGAGGCCGGACATTGCCGATCATGTTCCGGCGTCGTTTTTGCCGCAGCGCGAGGAGGTCACGGAAGCGGGTGGGGGGGGACGATGAACGGGAAGGGTTGAAAGAGGTACGCGGGAGCGCCCCCCGCACCTCTTCCCACTGAGGCGCCCCCTTCTGCCCCTGCACCCTGAGAGGCGAGGGCGACTGCGCGGCCTCGGAGCGGGCGCGGTGGTCGCCAGAGCTGCACGTGCCGCCAGACCCGCCGCCGCTCTTCGCTTTCCACTCGGCCCAGGACGACGCGGCGCCCATCGAGAACAGCCGGCGCCTGGTGGAGTCCTGGCGCGCCGCTGGCGGCAGCGCCCACCTGATGGAGGCGTGCTCCGGGGGCCACTCGGACTTCCCTGCGGAGGCGCGGGACGCGGTGATCGATTTCCTCAGGAGTCAGGCCCAGACCCCCTCGCGTTGTGAAAAAAATCACGACGGGTGGGGTTTCTCTGTTTTCTGCCTTTGGGGGCCCTCACCGGGCCTCGGGACCGTCAAGACATGACTCGGGTCCAGAACTTTGGCGGTCGACGCTGCGAAAGAATCACGACGTCGGGGGTCTGGGGGGCAGCGTTGGGGCAGGATAGGCTCAGGGGGGACGCCTCGACGCCTCAAAACGCCCACTGATCGCCGAGGTGGGCCCGAGAGCCCACCCCGCCCAGGACCGTGCGGATTCGCTCCGACCGGTCGGCGATGTCCTCCTCCTCCTCCTCCTCCTCCTCCTCCTCCTCCTCCTCCTCCTCCTCCTCCTCCTCCTCCTCCTCCTCCTCCTCCTCCTGCCGCCGATTCTGTGCCGAGGTTTCCCACCCTGAGCCGGTCCCCGCCACAGCGCTGCCCCTCGCAGGAGGGCGCTCGGGGGCACCCCGAGCTGAGCTCCGCGGCGACCGGATGCGAGGGTGGCGGCGCGCTCGTGCCAAGGCGGTGCGGGGCGCAGCGATCGATTTTCTCATGAGGGCGCTCGGGGGCGTGCCTGGCTGAGCTCCACGGCGCCCCGATGTGGGGGGGGCGGCGCGTTTTCATGCCGAGGCGGTGCACAGGACGCGGTGGTCGAGTTTGAGGGCGGCGCGTCCACGGCGAGTTCGGCGCAAGGTACTGTGTGTCGACTGCGGCGGGCATTTGAAGGGCGTCCGTGGCTAAGCTGCACAGCAGCCTGGTGCGTCGGTGCAGCCAAATCGTGGCGAGTCAAGGTGGTGAAGACGCCCAGGCTTGGCCATGTCCAGGGACGCCAGGCTTCGGCTATCCAAGCCTGTCCTCTCATATGTGTTCCTAGCGGCGACCGTCCACAGCCTGGCCCTCGCAGTCGGGTTGCGTGCACCGTACGCAGACTGGCACGAGGAAAAGCATCCGAAAACAGCTGCAACAGCTGCCGATGTACCTTAGAATCACGTTCTGTTTGGCATCGCTCGGACGTGCGTGTTTGCCTCGGCGAGGACCATCGAGAAGCGTCGTGGATCATCTTGCTTAGAAATCGAAAATGCATGAAGATTTGACGTCCGAGCGATGGCGAGTCTGAGTGTTCAAAAATGGATTGCCATACCACTGCCTGTGCACATGCTGAGCAGGGACAGGCTGCACCGCTGCGCGATCCCGTCAGTAAGCTGCGAAAGTTATATTGCTCATGCACCATGACAGGGAGAAGCCGTGTGTGTAAGGCGAAACGCATTGAGTAAACATAATGGATGCGGGAGTGCCGGCAACAGTGCGCGTGCGTGTTGGCATCAGGGCAAAGTAATTGGCATCAGAAGTAAGATAGAACATAATGTAATAGCGAAGAATAGCGTAGGAATGATAGGGCAGAGGACTGTCCAATCCTGGCGGTCCTTGTTTTGTGTTGAACTGAGAACTTGACTGTTCAAGTATTTTCGGATTTGCGCAAGCGGGGAAACTACTTTCTTGCAAGTCCATAAAAATTATGGAGACAGGTCTCCTGGGCGTGCAACTCGTTTGCCATCTAATTTTCGACCATCAGTTTCGCGCCACGGCAATTCTCATAGTGTCAGATCATTGTACTGAGGGCCTCGACAATCGTTGCCAGGCCACCTACAACTCAATGATCACCGAGGCACAGCGACGAGTAGTCGTGTTATGTCCTCACGGTTTCAAGAGCCGTGGCCAACAGGTTGCCGCAAAGGTGTCAAAAAAACGATTCATCTTTTCATAAAGCGCATAGTAGTCGCCGAGTCGTTTCCAAAAGCTTGTGTCTCTGGCATCCTTGACTGTTTCCAGGGGCGCGATTGTTAAACAGCCACCGCGACGAGCCTGAAATTGTCTTCCCAGACATTGCCCCCAGGAAGTTGATCTCCGAACAGTGCTTGCACCCAGGGGTTCTGACATGCTCTCAGAGAGGGGGCCAGCCCCGTGTGCCGCAGTCGGCCGTGCCCGGCCGGTGCCCTACGGCTGGGTTTTTGCGATGGTGTTGCTTCGCGTGTCGCCGTCGGCCGTTCTGGGCCGGTGCGCTATGGCCGCTCCAGCGCAGCGTTCCGCGGCTGGTGGATCACGTTTGCTCTGTGTGTCGCAGTCGGTCGTCCTGGTCGGTGCTCTTTGGCCGTTCCCAGCCTGCGCTCCATGGCTGGTGCCCTGCGACGGCTCTGTTTATGGGAGTCGGCCGTTCCTGGTCGGTGTTGTCTGGCCGTTGGCGCTTGGTGTTCTACGGTTGGTGCCGTATGATTCGTGCATTATGGCCCCCGATGGGTGGTGCCCTGTACGTTTGTGCCCTGCTGCATGTGTTGGTGTCCTATGTATTAACCTACGGTCGGTCAACAATAGCGTGCGCCATCTAGTTCTCAAATCGGGAATGCGCTATTCCATTGGTTGCGGGGCCACTCGCTGGCATCACCAGACACTGCTCATGCGCGACAACCAGAAGACATCTTGTTGGTTCGTCGACGTGCCACGGATTTCTCAACCACATCTTGCTAGCAGGTTCGCGATCAGCTTACACATAGGGCGTCGCCGAGCAGCCCCCCACCGCGGACGGCCCCACACGTAAGGCAACACCTCGCCGGTAGGCCTGTAGGCGCCTCCCGCAGAATTGTTGTTATCGATGTGTTCCTCGCCTATCCACCTTTCCCGGTGAGTTCTTTTGCTCTGCCAGCAGATCTTCCAGGATTGTTGCCTGTGGGGGTGATGTTATCGTGTTGAAGGGGGGACCCCCCCAAAAAAACAAAACAACAAAAAAAACAAAAAAATTGATAAAACAAAACAAAAACAAAAAAGTCCCCGCCTCTCCCTCCCCCTCCTCGTGTGTGTCTTGCTTTGGCCAGTCGTATTTGGCGACACGGCACATCGAGTCTCCTCCTTCCCCGCGAGTGCTTCGCCAGCCCCACGCCTGGAGCTGTCGCGAGGCTTGCTCAACGACCTCCGATCGTCTTAGCCTTAGCCTTAAGTCGGGCCTGTCCCTCTACAGGAGGAATATTCAAAAATATGAAAAAATAGTCCTGGGACGATTTGTTTACTATGTTTGCCCCTTGGGGGGGCATTTTTGGGATACTTTCAATTTTTGTTGCCAAAACCCCGTGTAGGGGGACACGCCCGATTTAACCTTAGCCTTAGTTTACCCCGCTCCCCGTCTCCCTCCCCAGAACGGCAGGTCCGTGCGGCGTCGAGGCGGCAACGACCCCGGCGCGGGCGTTCAAGCTTGAACGCCGCCGGTGGCCCTGAGTCGGCCGATATCGAGCGATCCGCGCCATCGGGAAGCCGCGATCGCTCAAGGCTGAGGGATCCACACGGTGTCAGAGGCCAATGGCGACGCCGCGACACGAGACTACCGTAGCCATTGTGGCCCAGGCCTTCTGGCCGACTCCAGGCCTCTCCGCAGCCGCCCGACGCGCCCCTTCCCAGGCCAATTCAGACCGTTCGAAATGGGGGGTCAGCACTAACGTGGGTCAACCAATCCATTCTGGCTGGCCCAGGTTTGGGAGCCACGTGCAGCCGATTCCGCCTTCCCGCCTTCGGCTGGCGCAAGGTTTGGGGATTCCTAAGCGGCCAGGCTCGCGACCCCTGACCTCCGACATTTTCGAGTCGTCACAGGGCGTTGGACCTCTCGACCCTTACTCTGGAGACGGCCTCGGGTGATCGAGAACGAAAAAATCTCAGGCTCAGTATTTTCGAGTTTTTGGGGGTCTAGGACAAGGCCCTGGCTGACCCAGGTTGGCGCTGACCGGGGTCACAGAAGGCACATCCAAGACGAAATCGGTTTGCCGGCAGATACCCCATGGCCCACGGAAATGCTATCCCCCGATGGCCTTTGGGACCCGCAGAAGCTCGGGGGCACTTCGGGACCCTCAAAGGTCGACGATGAACCCAGACCCCCTCGGGTCATGAAAAAAACACGACGGGTTTCTGTTTTCGCTGTGCTCGATCTCCGGGGGGCCCTGCTGGGCCTCGGGACCGTCGAGACACGATTCCGGAGGGAAGGACCAGGCCCGGGGAAGGGGCCGAGGCTGCTGGGGGTCGACGCTGTGAAAGATCACGACGTCAGGAGGAGAAGGAGGAGGAGGAGGAGGAGAGGGAGGAGGAGGAGGAGGACGAGGAGGAGGACGAGGAGGAGGAGGAGGAGGAGGAGGAGGAGGAGGAGGTCTGGGAGTGTGCCCCGAGACTCCCCTGCACGGCGAGGGCTCTCACCACACGCGCCCGCCACAGGACGCGTCGCCGACCGACCGGCGCGCGGACCGCGGGCGGACGCGCCGAGCCCTCGGCAGCGCGGCAGCGCGCCCGATGCCGCCGGGCGAGCCGCACCAGCGGGGCGGCGGGAGCGCAGCCCAGGCGCGGGGCCGGGCCCGGACCTCGTGGGAAAAAACACACGTCTGTGGGAAAAAGCACACACACACACACTGTGGGGAAAAAACACACAGTGGGAAAAAAAAACACTGTGCGAGTTGACCCAGGGTCCCTCTAGAGGCCTTCTGAGGATGCCAGACACTCAGCCCCGTTCCGCAACCATTTTGGTTCGATCAGGGGCTTCGGCCCCTTTGGAGGCAGACACGTGTTAGCCTGAGCTGATAGTGAAAACGAGATATACGAGAGCTTACGCTTACGTTTCCGCCGTTCCACCGTGATCGGTGGTAGCGGAGCGCTGCGTTGCGCTTCCTCGGACCTGAGTTTCAAAGACAGCACGGTGGACAGTGACTACACGGCGGAGACAGCGCGGCCCATCGCTACAACATGGGAGATGGCGAGGACGACGACGAGTTCGTGGCTCCAGTCGGACGTGAGGGCGCGAGTACCGGAAGGTACGTTCCGCCACCTGTCATCAAGGAGTCGACGATCGAGGAGCTGCGGAAGTACGTGCGCAGATTGCGGATATGGTCGAAGGTGGCGACGGGGATTCCAGCACACCAACGGGGTCTCCACGCTTACTGCAGCATCCTGGAGGGCGGCGACGACCAGATCCAGAGCATCGTGGAAGGTCTCGACCAGAACGAGCTCGAAGGCGAGGACGGAGTGGAAAACATCGTGAAGGCGCTCGAACAGGAGATCATGCCGAAGAACGTGCACGAGAAGTACCTGGAGGTCGAGCACCTTCTACGGGTCGGAGCGACAGAAGGGGGAGAGCCTGCAGCAGCACCCGATGAAGGTCAAGAAGGCGTTCGATAGGCTGAGGAAGCTGCAGGTGACGCTGGACGACGTGCAGGGCTACATCTTCGTCCGGCAGGCGAAGCTGGACCACACGGAGCGCATGGCGGTGATCTTGCAGACTTCAGGGTCACTGGCGTACGATGACGTGAGGACGGCGCTCAAGGGGCTTCGAGACGACAGCTCGCTCGAGAAGACCACGAGGAACCACCAGGGGGACACTTCGGGGCAGCAGCGGAGTGGCAAGGCGTTCTACGTGGACGAGGACGACGAGCTGTACGAGGACGAGGACCCGATCGCACAAGGGCTGATGGCGCTGGAGGACTCCGACCAGGAAGAGATCAACGAGGAGGACATCCTTGACGAGGACGAGGCCTACGCGGTGCTGGCGGCGTGGCAAGCCGGACCCGGAGGCCGTGGCAGCTGGCAGGAGACGAGGAGGATCGCCCGCGACCGCAAGACGTCGAGGGGCTACCGCGACGTGAGCGAGCCGAAGGGGAAGTCCGGCGGCCGCGGCAAGGGCAGCATGGAGTACCAGAAGGAGGCTCGTAAGAAGATCGAGGAGCTGAAGAAGAGGACCCGCTGCCACCGCTGCAACAAGGTGGGCCACTGGACGCGGGAGTGCAGGAACCCACCGATGCGCAAGGCCCCCGCGGAAGGAGTCGGCATGGTCCACGCCGAGGAAGATCACGACCACGAGGAGTTCGAGGAAGTATACGTATTCGACTTCCCGGAGGAGCCGACGGCGGAGCCGCCGCCGCCGCCGCCCGAGACCGACGACCCGGCGAAGATCAAGAATCGCGAGCGCAGGCTGCGCGCGAAGGCGCGCAAGCAGACGGTCCAGGCCGAGCAGGCCTCCAGCGCCGTCGGCGCTGCATGCCCGTCCAGGTTTCGGGAGTGTCTCGAGGAGGCGAAGAGGGGGTTGTGCAAGTTTTCAGCAGCCCAGCTTCTGGGCGTCTTGGAGGGCATGGTGGATACGGGGTGTTCTAGGCTAATCGTTGGGGATCACACGATTGCGTTACACGACTGGCTCTCAGAAGACTTTTTGGGTTGAGTATCAGATACGCTCCTTGTATCGGCAGGAGTTTCCATTTCGCGAATGGCCAGGCCGCTCAGTCAAATTGGGTTGCCGAGTATCCTGTGGGCCTTGGGGGTAGAAGTGGAGTGCTCAGAGTTTGCAGTGCCTGGCTGGACCCCGCTGTTGATCTCAGAGGGCTCGCTCGAGGACCTTTCCGGGATTGTGGACACCTCCAGAGGATTGCTCACCTTGAAGACCTTGGGCGTTACCGTGGCCCTTCGAAGATCCCGAGATAACCCCAAGACGAAGCAGTGGCGTCTCTCTCTGCGCGACTTCGGTGAGCAAGGTTTCACGAGGCCGACGAGATCGGAGACGAGAGCACCCGAAGTGGTGCGCTTGATTGATGCGACGATTGCGCAGGAAAACAAAGAGCTGGTGACCGCCCTCGTTCCTGCTTCCCGATCCGAGGAACCAGACCGATGCGAGAGTACGAGGTCGAAGACATCGACGAAGGCGATTTCGTGCCCGAGTGCGACCAGTCCGAGTACTTCGACGACCACTCGAACGACGATGGCGAGTTCGAGGGGGTCACAGATCACGACTTCGGGGACTCAGGGGACACCAAGGGGATCACAGATCACGTCTTCGGGAACTTCAGGAACCAGGGGAGCTCCGTCTGGGACCAGGCCAGGGACTTCGGAGGCACTTGGAGGCTCGGAGAAGGCTGTCGAGGTTCGAAAACCCTAGCTAAACGACGAGAACCCGGACGGTGCGCAGTCACTCAGGCCCAAAGGTGTACATTTTCAGCGCGCTCAGCAAGCTTTCCATATCTTACCGGCGAGTGCCGAAGGCCCGCTCCAACCAGATCGCGGACAGATGGGGTTTCTCGCCCATTATGTGTTGCTGCTGCGTTGGTGCGCTGGGCAGGCGCAGGCGCTGCGCTGCAAGTTTCAGAGGCCGCATCGCTACCAAGACGTCCAGATTTCTGCGAGTTCGGACTCGGCGGCAGCGAGCAGTTCGGGAGGAAGACCGACACGGCGCCTCAAGTGGATCGCGAGTGCGATGCCGACGCTGAAGGCAGAGCTCGTGACCCTGTGCAACCTGTGGAACGTCCCACTGCCGGAGCTCCCGCAGAATATGAGGGTGATCGACCTGCAGGAGGCCCTGTGGACCTACGACGCCAAGCTAACGAGAGCTACGATCGACCCGAAGACACTGGCGCAGAGCTGGGGCAGCAGGAAGGTAACATTCGGCGAGAGGCATCGCGGCAAGACGTTCGAGGCGGTACTCGCCCAGCACCCGGACTACTGCGACTGGATCAGGGAGTCAGCGAAGAACCTCAACGACGCGATGAGGCAGTTCATAATGTACATCGAGACGCGGGAGGAGGCAGCGAGCAGCCCACCGGAGCCGAGCTCGAGCAGCCGACCACCAAGGACCAGGGCCAGGACGAGCACGACACCACCCAGAGCGGACAAGAGGATGGCCGACGGGGCGCGGAAGAGGCTACCCTCGGACGACTCGTGGGAGGACGGAGCGGTCTGAAGCTGCATGAGAAGCAGGACAGGGCCGCCCGCACCAGGGCGGTGAGAGGTCAAGGTGGAGAACCCGCTTGGAAGCAAGCGAAGTGGCGCATCACGAAGGACCGGGGTACCGGCGAGGTACTCGACGACACTGCCATCTTGCACGGGGAAGAGACCAGCGATCTGAAGTGGATCTACGAGTTCCCGGACGGCAAGGGCATCCGGGACATAGTGGCGGAGTTCTGGTTCGAGCCGTCGGAGCCGAAGACCAGGGACATCAAGAACGGGGAGTGGAAGCGCATCATGGGGGACGTGGCGCACCACATCCCAGAGCAGATCCTGTTCATGAGCGACGGCAAGGTGGTGAGCAACTTCGAGAAGTGCAACGCCGCCGACGACCTGGCCGAGATCTTCTCACCGCCCAGAGCACTGGACTGCGAGAACCAGGGCGGCATCCTCGGGGACCTGGCTCTGGACCTGAAAACGGGCTGGGACTGCCGGAAGAAGGAGGACCGCATGTGGGCAATGGCAGAGGTCAAGAGGCGGAAGCCTAAGGTGGTGGGGATTACCCCACCATGCCGAATGTTCTGCGCGCTCCGGAACCTGAGTCAGAACAAGCGGACCGACGACTGGGAGAAGGACTACCGGGAAGCCCTTCTCTTCCTGCGGCTCGCGATCCGGATCGCGAAGGTGCAGCTGGACGCTGGCCGGCACTTCTACCTGGAGCACCCCTGGGCGGCGACGTCCTGGGGCCTGGGGGAGACGCGGAGGCTCATGAAGTACCCTAGGGTCCGAAGGATCATCCTGGACCAGTGCGCGCACGGCCAGACGGACCCGAGCGGGCAGGGCTTGATCAAGAAGCCGACCGCGATTCTCACCACGCTGGACCACACCGAGGAGCTCGAGAAGAGGTGCGAGGAGGACCATGAGCACACCATCGTGTTCGGCAACCAGCGCGACGCGGACGGGAAGCTGCAGAAGATCTCGAGGTGGTCGCAGGTGTACCCGCCGAGGCTGGTCAAGGCGATCCGCAAGGTAATCAGCAAGAATATCGGCCGCCCGATCAAGGAGATGAACGTGGTGATGGCCCTGTATGACTCAGGGGCCACCGGACCAGGAGGCGAGACCTGGGAGACGATCGCGAAGCGGGTGCACGCCAACCTGGGCCACGCGGACCTGCGACGGACCACCTTCGTTCTGAAGATGGCCAAGGCCAAGCCGGAGCTACTGGACGCGATGAAGAAGGTGATCGAAAAGTGCGACGTCTGTGACGCGACGGAGAACCCCAAGTCGACGCCGCCGGCGAGGCTGCCCACGCCGGAGAGCTTCGAGTTCAACGAGGTGATCGGCATGGACCTGCTGTTCGTGGACACCACCTGGGACAGCGAGAACAAGCCCAAGAACGAGACCACCCCGTGCCTCAACATCGTCGACTGGGGAACGGGCAAGCAGATGGTCATCAGGCTCCCGGACCGAGAGAGCACGACGATCAGGCAGGCGTATCGGAGGCACTGGATGAGGCCATACGGGAGACCGAAGCGCCTCATCAGCGACCAGGAGAAGGGCACCATCCGCGGGATCTTCGCGGATAGGGCCAGCGCCGAGGGCACGGAGCTGGACCCGGTCGGAGCCAAGAGCGAGTACCAGAACGGCAAGACCGAGACGGCGGGGCAATTCTGGAAGAGGACGTATTACCGCATCAGATTGACCGAGGCGATCTTGAGGGCCGACGACCAGGAGGAGCTGTTCGACGCCGTCAACTGCGCGGTGGACGAGAGAGGTGCGGACCTACGAGTGTTTGGCCGAGGAGTTCGGCTACCGGAGGGTACGCACGAAGACGACGACGACGTGAGCCTGGAGACGGTGTCACGCCACGCTGCAGGAGACCGAGCCCTGGCGAAATCGATCGGACTGCGACTGGCAGCCCGAGAGGCGCACGCCCGGGAGTCGGTGCTGGACCGCCTGGACAGGGCCAAGAACAGGAGGAGCACACCTTTCCGAGGCGACTGAAAGCCGGGCGACAAGGTGTACTACTGGAGGCAGCAGGGGCCCAAGCGAGAGGCCTGGGAGCACTGGAGAGGCCCTGCCACCGTCATCAGCACGAACATCCCCGGGAAGGCCTACGTGTCCTACCAGGGCGGAGTCATCCTGTGCAGCTGGAAGCAGCTGAGGGCCGCCACGACGGCGGAGGTTCAAGCGAACCGATATGTGACGGAGACCGGCGGGGTGCGCAAGCCTGTTGGATCTCAGGGTAAGCGAGCTGTGGAGGACATCTCGGACCAGCTGGACCCGCCGGGACCCGAGGCGGAGGACCAGCCGGAGAGCGAGACGAAGGACGAGCAGCCGAAGGAGGAGACGGCGCCATCCATCCCGGTGCCGGAGGTTTTCGGACCTGACGGCGAGGGCGCAGCTGAAGAGCAGGAGGACGCCCCGATGATCGGGAAGCCGTCGACCGAGGAGGCCCCGAGGAGGCGCTACTCCTCCAAGAGGAGCGCCCGCGAGGTCTACGCACCGGCACCGGTGCCGGAAGGACCTGGGTCGCCGAAGAAGCAGGTGGACGAGACGCCAGAGATGCCCATGACCGACGACACGGCGGGCACAGCGGAGGCGGCCTTCTTCTCCGCCAAGCAGGCGGCGAAGCGGAAGGAGGTCTACCTTAAGAACCTCACGGAGGACGAGAAGGAGGAGTTCATGGAGGCGAAGGGCACGGAGTGGGGCAACATCAAGGGCGCGAAGGCCGCGCGCATCGCGCCGCCGTCCGAGGCGAACGAGATCAGGAAGACGCACGGCGACAGAATCATGCCTAGCCGACACTGCTACACGTGGAAGCAGAAGGACGGCCGACGGCAGGCGAAGTGCCGCTGGGTCGGACGCGGGGACAAGGACCCAGACCTCGCCGAGCTGGAGACCTACTCGCCCGTGGTATCGAAGGAGGCCTGGATGATGAGCATGCAGCTGAACGTGTCCATGGGCTTCGACATCGAACTGGGGGACATCAGCTCGGCCTTCATGAACGGGTACCGGTACCAGCGGAAGCAGGGCCCGCTCTACTGTGAGCTACCCGCTGACGGAGTCCCTGGAGCCGAGCCGGGGTCGCTGCTGGAGGTGCTGGTCTGCGTCTACGGACTCGGGGACGCGCCGCTGCAGTGGTGCAAGAGCTTCACCACTGAGGCTCTGGCCGCGGGCTTCAGGATCAGCTCGTACGACCCTTGCTTGCTCTACCTGCACCAGGACGGCAAGTACCGAGGCTCGATCGCACTGGCCGTGGACGATACGCGCGGCGGAGGCGACGAGTACTTTCAGAAGGCGATGGAGAAGATCAAGCGGAGGTTTCCCTTCGGCAAGTACCGGAAGGGCAAGGGCGATTTCCTGGGCAAGCAGCTGGAGCAGCTGCCCGACAAGTCGGTCAAGATCACCCAAAACAACATGGTCGATGAGATCGAGATGATCAACATCACAGCCGGGCGCCGTGCGACGCCCAACGAGCCATGCAACGAGCAGGAGATATCCGCGCTGAGGGCCGTGGCAGGATCCCTCAACTATGTGGGGCGCGAGACGCGCCCTGACCTGAGCGGGCCAGTCTCGCTGCTGCAGGGCACTTTCCCGAAGCCGAAGGTGTCCGACCTGCTGGAGGGGAACCGGGTGACCAGGATCGCCAAGGATTTCTCCCACACGACGCTCTGGATCAGGCCGATTGATCTGAAGAGCCTGGGCTTCTTTGCGGTGGCGGACGCGGCCTGGGCGAACGCGAAGAACCAGGCGAGCCAGGCGGGCCGGCTATTCCTTGCTGGCGACCTGAGCATCTGCAAGGGGCTGCGGGACAAAATATCCCCAATGGCATGGAGGTCTCATCGGCTCGCTCGGAAGGTGCCGAGCTCGCTGGCTGCTGAGACACTGGGAGTGGACGAAGGACTGGCGAACGGAATCTACCTACACAGCTTGTTCGCGCAGTTGGCTTTCCCTGGCCTGGACGCCCGGACGGCGCCCGAGGCTGGCAGGACGTCCCCGCTGACCGTGGTGACGGACAGCAAGTGCCTGTACGACCACCTGCACAACATCTCCGGTGGCCCGAGTAAGGACCGGAGGACCGCCTTGGACATCGCGATCCTGAAGGAGAGCATGCAGGGCAGCGGTGCCGGCATCCGCTGGGTGGACGGCAAGCGGCACCAGATCACCGACTCTCTGACGAAGCGCAACGGGTGCGCCGACCTACTGCGGGGGATCTTGCAGAAGGGTGAGTACGTTATCGTGGAGGAGGATCATCCGCTCAAGATCCGAGAGGCTGAGAGAGCTTCGAGAGTGACGAGAAGGGGAGCGTTCGGGAGGCCTGCGACGACGACGACACGCTCTACTGAACCGAGCTGCACGAGCTCACCTGTACTTTTCAGCGCTGCGCGCTCCTTGTCAGATATACGCGCTACGCGCGAGAACTGTAATTCAAACCCTGGTCGAACCGTTTCGAGTTGCGAGGGGAGGCTGCTTACAGGTGTCTTGGCATCTAGAATTCTGGGGCGTACGAGTTGACCCAGGGTCCCTCTAGAGTCTAGAGGCCTTCTGAGGATGCCAGACACTCAGCCCCGTTCCGCAACCATTTTGGTTCGATCAGGGGCTTCGGCCCCTTTGGAGGCAGACACGTGTTAGCCTGAGCTGATACTGAAAACGAGATATACGAGAGCTTACGCTTACGTTTCCGCCGCTCCACCGTGATTGGTCGGTGGGAAAAAAAACACACTGTGGGAAAAAACACACAGAGTCTGTGGGCAAAAACACACACACTCACACACACACACACACACACACACTGTGTGTGTTGTTTCCCACAGACTGTGTGTGTTTTTTGCGCAGCGCGATGCGCGAAGTTCAGGAAGGCAGGTGTCGGGTCGGGAGGGCGGGGTCGGGAGAAGTCGGAGCGTCATTGCCCGTAGGCGGCCGCAAGTATCGTGCATCGCATTCGAGTGCTACGGCGGCGGCATTGGATAAGGAACGTCTTCCTGGGGCCCAGACCCTGGCGCATTCCTCATTGTTTCAAGGCGAGGTGGGTGGCCCACGTTGGGCCGTCCATCGGTCGCGAGACCCTGGGCTCCTCATCGAATGCATCCTTACCTAAATCCCCCACCGTAGTGCTCATACCCTTCACTCTCCCAACCCCTTCCTCCCAACACGATAACTGTTCTCCTCAGAAATTCGTCGGGCCGAACGAAAGGGGGGGATAGGGAAAGGGGGGGTTACAAAATCAGCTGCATGCAGCTGGTTTCAGCCCCGCCGCCGGGCCCATTCCTCGATACATGGGCGCCTCCCGGCGCCGGGAGGCGCCCCCCCTTTGCTATCCCCCCGTTCCGCCCGGCCCGAGTTCGGCGCCTCTGCGGACGTCTCGAGACCCGAGTCTTCCTCTGGTCTCGGCCCCCGGGGGCGGCGATCGGGCCCCAGGAGCATCAGCAACGGACCCGGGGCGAGACACGGCCCCCAGGAAGCGGTCGGGACCCCGCCGGGACCGAGGACGGACAGAAGCAGGTCGGCGGGGCGTCAGGGAATGCAGGGCTCGAGGTGCTCTCGGGCGTCGTCGCAGATTCCCGCGGGGGGGGCCTTCCCGCCTCGGGAGGCTCTCCGGCAGCTGCGCCTCGCCGAGAGCCTTCCGCGGGTGCCCGAGCCGTCCCGAGCGGCCGCCGGAGACCGCAGCCGTGACCCGTCCCCTCCCCTCCTCTCGGGTCGGGCGAAAGGGGGGGATAGCAAAGGGGGGGTTTGAGAATCAGCTCACGTAGCTGATTTTCCCGGCGCCTCCCGGCGCCGGAGGCGGCTATGTATCGAGGAATGGGCCCCTCGGTGAGGCCGAAACCAGCTGCATGCAGCAAATTTCGTAACCCCCCCTTTCCCAATCCCCCCCTTTGGCCCGGCCCGATCCTCGCGGAGAGACGATCGAGCCCGAGGTGGTTCGGCGTTCTCGGCCTCGCGAGGCCGACGTCGGGCCCCGGGGGGCTGTCGAGGAGGACGGCGCGGGACAGAGCGCGGGCCCCACGGAGGGAGAGGGAGGAGGGAGGAGGGAGGAGGGAGGAGGGAGGAGGGTCGGGGGACCCAGGGCGCCGAGGCTCGGAGGTGTCGAGGCGTCGGAGAGTCTGGGGAGGTGGAGGAGGCGCCGCCGGACACCGTCCACGTGCTGCTGCCCGAGGGCATGGGCCTCCACGAGGTCACCAGCATGTTCCACCGCTTCGGGGAGGTCCTGTAAAACGACGCGAAGATCGGGACAACATCGGATCGGGATAACTCGAAATCTCTGAGAATCGGCGGGTTTGGAGGATGTATTGGGCGCCGCGGCCGCTCCAGAGCGTTCCGGAACGCTCTGAGAGCGCTCCGGAACGCTCTGGAGCGATTTATCCCGATCCTAGCCCTGTTTTATCCTGAGCATCGTTGGGCCTGTACGGTGGAGGTGTTGGTCAAGGAACGTGTGCCCAGGAGGCGTCAGACCCTGGGGGATTCCTTATCTCATGAGGGCGGCGGTCATATCCATGGCCAGTCCACGATTGGAGCCCCACTGGCTTCCAGATCCTGGATTCCTTAGTTCATGGTTTCTTATCCGATGCCCTCACCGTACCCCCATCCCCACTGGGAAAGCCTTGGCCCCGCGGCCCGACATGTCGCCCTGGGTGCGGATTGGTGCCGTCTCCGCCAGTTTCCGCGGCATCCGTCCCCACCTCGAGGGGGGCAGGCTGGGGGCGCCAGAGAAGCCTGGACCACTGGGGATGGAGATGGTAAGGCTTCGGGCTGCGCACAGACAGCATCCCCAAGTACAGTGGGGGCCCATGCCAAGAAACACCCTGCTTGCCTCCAAGGTGCCGTGGGCTTTCTTGGGTTTTGCTGGTTTTGCCATGGAAAGCGCGATGCTCCCACACCAAAAGAGATCATTGGACGTCCTGGGGTCTCAGAGTCGGGTTCCTTGTGGAAGGCTCCTTCTGGTCGAGCCCCTACTGTAGTCCCGACTGGCCTCAACGGGCCCCCCGGGCAGTGCTGGCCGTTCCCAACCCCTCAAACCTGGGGGCGCGGGGAGCGCCCCCCGAGGCGCCTCGGGAGGCGGCGCACTCGGGTGCCGAGGCCGCCCCGCACTGCTCGGGGGGCCATGTGGAGGCCAGCCGGGACTGGCTGGGAGGGCTGTCTGCGCGCAGCCCGTAGTTCTATCCTCCTCCTCCTCCTCCTCCTCCTCTCCTCCTCCCTCCTCCTCCTCCTCCCTCCTCCTCCTCCTCCTCCTCCTCCTCCTCCTCCTCCTCCTCCTCCTCCTCCTCCTCCTCCTCCTCCTCCTCCTCCTCCTCCTCCCAACGATGCCGAGGTCTCCTGCCTCGAGATGGTCCCGGGCGACCAGCTCGTGCTCGCGGTGGTCTTCTTGGGCGACAAGCGTATCCGTATCCGCGGCCTCGCGGGTCGGCTCTGGCCCGCGATCCCCGCGGACGCGGGGCGGTTCGTCGCGGATGCCTTACGCGGCATGTGTCTATGCGCGCCGCGCATCCGCGGGATCGCCCCGGGGAAGCCAGACCGCGAGGGCGCGGGTACGGAAATATATCCAGAGATCCGATGGCCCGATTCTTGCAATGCGGGGTCTCTGGAAGGCTCGACCCGTCCCCCAGGACCGGGTTTTGTCATCCCGAGCCGTTTTTGTTAGCGGTCCCGGCCGGGGCCCGGTGAAGGCCACCAGAGGCCGAAAGCGGAGAAAATGTTTGTCGGGATTTGTTCCATCCATTTGATATTTGGGCGCGCCTCCTAGTTATCCTCATGATCCTCATTATTATCATCCATTGGATATTTGGGCGAGACTCCTAGTTATCCTCATGAGCATCATTATTATCATCCCTACCTCCTCCCCCTCTTTTCTCACGTCCAAGCATGCCTGGGTCAGTTCAGGCATGCAAGCGTTGATGAAGCCTTTGGCATGTTCACCACCTCCACGAGCTGGTCCGTGACAGACGCACCCTGCCGCTGCACAGCTTTTGTTGTCGTACAGAGGGTAATTGGCTCATTCTGCGTCCCAAAAAACAACCCACTAAAAACAACAACAAACAAACATATTTTGGTATATATAGTGTAATACATATATAGTCACATACCTGCATACATGCATACATACATGCATGCATACATACATGCATGCATACAACATACATGCATGCATGTATGCATGCATGCATGCATAAATACTTATATATATATATGATATGCATACATACAAACATACATCCCTACATACATACATGCATGCATGCGTGCGTGCGTGCGTGCGTGCGTGCGTGCGTGCATGCATGCATGCATGCATGCATACATACACACATACATACATACATACATACATACAGACAGACAGACAGACAGACAGACAGACAGACAGACAGACAGACAGACAGACAGACAGACATACATAAATATATACATGCACACACATGTATAGATGAGAGAGGGAGATTCTGGCCGCCCGTGAGGTCTTCTTCGACTCCCGGGCCGCGGCCGCGGCGCTCGGCGCGCTGTGCCCCGCGCTGTGCTGGCCCGGCGGGCACCGGGGCCGCCGCAGGTCGACGACACACGCAGGAGTGACCCTTCGCTGGAGTGACCTCCTGGGTGCGGGCCCAACGGTGCCCCCCCGATCGCTGAGCGCGAAGCGGCGGTAGCAGCGGCCTGCGCGCCCAGGGTTGGCCCCCCCTGCGTCTCCCGTTCGGCCGCGCACCGGAGGCCACTGTTGCCCAGGGTCGCTCTCGCGTGTAGCCGCGCAGGGTGCCGAGCGGCTCCCGCGCGGGGGTCGTGGGCGTCGCCGGCGTGAGTGGCGAGCGCGCTGGGGCCGAGGTCGGGCAGAGTACTCTGGCGTCGCTCCCAGACCCCCTCGGGTCACAAACAAAAATCGCGACGGGCGGTTTTTGTTGCTATGTTTGGCATCTGAGGGCCCTCACCTGGCCCAGGGACTGTCAAGAAACGGCCCAGGACGAGAAGCCGATCCCGGGGATTGGATCGAGACCTCCGGGAGTCCACGTCATGAAAAGATCATGACGTCGGGGGTCTGCGACTAGCGTCTGGTAATCGGCGAGAAAGCGTCACTGTAAGCGTCGGCTAGCGTCGATTAGCGTCGATTCGCAGGGGCCAACACGAAGGCATGGGCAGCTCCCACGAGTTGCCGCAGAAATTCGGAGGCGGCGACAGGGGCAAGTGGCCCTTGTCGTCACTTCCGAAAGTTGGAGTCGGCTGGGGGTCTGAGGTGGCCCAGCCCTCTGGTTCCTACCAGCAGGAAGGGGAAGCAAGGTTCAAAGGCCTGGGTTCGAGAGTTCTTTACCTCTTTCAGTCTCCAGGGGCCCCGTTTTCGAGCCCCAGGACCGTCAGAAACGAACCCTGGTGAAAAACGGCAACACATGGACCCCGAGAGGGATGCAGGGATTGATTTTGAGCGGATTTGCCTTTCCCCCGCCCGGACGGATTTTCTCGGGGCCCCTCCTGTGCAGACCCGCCGGCCCCCGATGGCCACGGGGACCCACAGGAGCTCCAGGGCACCGCAGGACCCTCAAAGATCGACGGATTTCGCGGAGTCGCCGGCGTCGCCAGCGTGAGTGACGGGCGCGCCAGGGCCGAGGTCGAACAGTCCCAGACATGCTCACGTCGTGACCGAGACACGACGTGATGTTCTTGGCCACTCTCGGCCTCCAGGGGCCTCGCGGGGCCTCAGGACCGTCAAAGACTTCTTCGGGATAAACAACCAGCCCCGGGGAAAGGGTCGGAGCTTCTTGGGACCGCGCATCGACAAAGTCAAGGCATCGCAGGTCTGGGCGCGCAGGGGCCGAGGTCTGGCAGGCCCTCTCGGAGGAGGGCCGGGCGAAGGATTAGCGGCCCTCGCTGGCGTCCTGTCCTTCTTGGGCCGCGGCGGCAGCCGCCTCGAAAAGCCGCTCAGGATGGGCCCCAGGAGGGGTCTGTCACCACCCACCAAACCACCCCAACCCAACCCGAAGGCTCAGATTTACCCTCGATTTCTAGTGGGGGGGGGTCCGGGAACATCGAAAAAACACATATGGAGCCCATACCCCCCCCAACCCGAAATTCGGGTCTTCGGGTTGGGTTGGGGTGGTCTGGTAGGTAGTCAGTCTGGGGGCCGAGTTGGAACGGACTTGTGCCGGGTGGGAGAGCCGCCGCTGTCTCAAGTGAGCGACGTAAGAAAACGGGGACGACTGCGCCGGCATTGTCGCGTGAGCTGCCCGCGTAAGGTCACGCGTGAGCGCCCTCTCTTCAATTGTGGCGTGCCGCGCGGGCGGCCCGCGTAAGCCACCGCGTGAGAGCACTGCGTCATCTCGAGTAAGACCCGTGTGTGATCGTCGCTCGATTGGCTTTCCTACGACCTTAGGATGGAGATGGGTCGCTCCAGACCGCTCTGGAGCGCTCCCTGCATTTTCTGGGGCGCTCTGGAACGGCCGCGGTGCCCCATGCAGATGCGTCGTCCAGGCCCGCCAGCTGTGAGAGAGTCCCGGAGTGTCTCGATCCGAGCTCATTCGCATTCCCTCGGCGTCGCTCGGACGTGTGCATTTTTCTAGGCCGGGCCAGCGCCAGAAAGTTTGGACAATCTTGGAGCATCCTGGAAACCATCTTGACAATATAAAAAAAAAAAAAAAAAAAAAAAAAAAAAAAAAAAAAAAAAAAAAAAAAAAAAACGCACTACACCAGACACTGCACGGGGAATGGACGTCGAAGCGATGGCAAGTTCTGCCTTCGCCCTGCCAGGTCGAGGACAACGAGTTCTACGACGTGCGCGACGCGGCGCGGTTTCGCATGAGATTCGGCGGTGGGGCCGCCACAGCCGAGGCGGCGGCCGGCCCCTCGCGGGCCGCCTCGTGGCGGCCAGTCCCTGCCTACGTCGTGCCCACACGGGAGGTGGCACAGATAGCCAGCAACGCGGCGCAGGCCTATGTCGTGCCTACACCGTGCCTGCGTCGTGCCGACGTCGTGCCCTGCGTCGTGCCTGCGTCGTGCCCCACGTCGTGCCTACGTCGTGCCCTGCCCACGTCGTGCCCACGCCGTGCCCACACGGGACGCTCTCGAACGCGAGCACCCCTTGTGCCAGCACTGGGCATCGCGAGCCTCGCAGGCCGTCCTCGTGGAGGGCCTCCCCAGTATGGTCGCGACCGAGCAGTGCTTCCCCGTGGTGCTGCAGCAGGCCGGGCTGGGCGGGCTCTACCGCGCTTTCGAGGTCTGGGGCGGCACGCCTTGCGGCGGCGCGCTGGTGATGTTCGTCCCAGAGAAGAGAAATCGGCACGAACGTCAATTTTCGGCGCTCCGCGCGGATTCCTTGGATCGGCGCTGGAACCCCCTCCCCGCCGCCAGGGGGGCCCAGCTCCGATCCAAGAAGTCCGCGCGGACCTCCCGGAACGTGAGTCTGCTCGTGCCGATGTCTCTCCTCCGGCCATCGGGCAGCACTGCCACGCCGCAGAGCTCTGCGTGCGCCACTTCCACGGCTGCCAGTGGGACCCCTGCGGCCAGCCGGTGACGGCCAGGCCTCAGGAGGAAAAGAAACACACAGACACCATTAATCCTCGATTCCCCAGAAAATATAGCAAAAATATAGGAAGTGGGGGAAGACAGAAGCCCAGAAAATATTGGAAAATATGGGGAATATGTTTATTTGTGTGTATTTATTTGTGTGTCCTGGGGCCCCTTCAAGGCCGCTGGCCCCCGAGCTGGCCGCGGAGGAGCTGGCCGCGCGGGGCAGGCCGCGCGCCGCAGCGGCGCTGCGCGCCGCTGCCGCCGGCGCTCCTCGGGCGCACCCGTGGGGCCTGCCCGCCAAGGTGGGCGCGCGCGCCCTCGTGGAGGAGTCGGAGGAGGCTCGGCGGCGAGCCGCGGGCGGGGAAGCTGTCGGGCGCTCGAAGGCGAGGGCTGTCGGGCGTGTTCTCGTCGGTTCTCGGCGGCCCTCCAGCCTGGGGATGCGCTCCAGCGGCGGCGCCTCGCCGGGACTGTGTCTGGGGGTGCCCAGCTCGTCCCGAAGTGCCGCCAGAGAGCCGAGTTGTGACGGGAAAGCCGCCAGGCGTCCGAGAGGGGGCAGGCTTGCTCAGAAGGCGTCGGGGCTTCTCAGAAGCCCTCGCTCCTTCTGAGAAGCCTTGTGAGGCTTCTCTGAAGACGCAGACGCCTCTTCAGAGGGCGCGAGGGCTTCTGAGAAGCCCCGCCGCCTTCTGGCAAGTCCTGCTCCCTCTCACTTCCCCCCTTGGCTCGCCGTCGAGAGAAAAAAGAAAACAGCACAAGCAAAAACTGTCAGAGCTCCGCGATGATCTCTCGGATCGGCGCTGGACCCGCCTCCCTGGTGCGCGGAGCGCACCAGGGGCGGCGCCGAAGGCGCCGCCAGGGTGGCCAGCGCAGACTCCGGAAATCCGCGAGGGCCTCCGAAAGTTCGTGCTCCTGCTGCCCCATTGCCCCCCGCAGGAGAGGACCGCCGAGGAGAGCACCGACGTGGGGGCGTCCGACGCCGGAGACGACACCACGGACGGGTGAGCGGGGAGGCGGCCGCGGGGAGGCGGGGCGCGGCGCGGCCAGCGGCAGCCGGCGCGCTCCAGAGGGGGCCTCTCGCAGAGCCTCGCCTGCGGCGCGCCTCGCCCTCGGTGGGAGGATGGCGGAAGCAGAGCGGTGGCGGCTCGGCCGGCGGAGGACGGCGGAAGTGCAGGCAAGAGGTCGGCAGTTCGGGGTTCCGGGCTTCCGGAGAGGGCGGTGTATGTTCACTCCAGCCCTCTGCGAACATGAGCATCGATACGCGCATATATGCGCATGCGTAAGACGGATATATATATATATATATATATATATATATATATATATATATAAATGTGCGTATATATATATATTACTACACACATACATACATATGTTTGTGCTTGCACGCGAAGGTCGAGAGTGATTTATCCCCTTGTCGCTTCAGGAAAAACTCTCAGAAGAATCGTTTGCGCCAGCGTTGAAGGTTGAGAGAGGCTTATCCCACTGTCACTACAGTGTTCTCTCCGTAGCCCCCTGTTTGTTGTGCTCGAAGGGGCCCCACGGGGCATGGGTGAGATCGTTCTCGCAGACCGTACCGAGCGCACCCTTTACCCCGTTTGGGCCATCCTCGCCGCCGAGGCGGGCCAACTAGCACGAGGGCTGCTGGCCGACTGGTGGTCGCCCGTACCCGAGGCGGCTGCGGAGAGTCACGAGCAGGAGGTGCTTGTCTGCCCCGAGGTCACGTGTCCGCCCTGCCTGAGAGTCCCATCGTGCCCGGAGGTGTCCGACCCGTAGTCGGGCGTGGGGGCAGGTGCTAGCGTGGTGCTCGTCGGCCAAGTGATCTGGCGGTCCGTGAAGACTCTGTGTGCGCGGGGCCGTCGCCGCCATGGCTCTGCTCCGACGCGCCGCAGTGGCGGCGTGGTTGCGTGGGCTGATACCGGACGGCCTCTTCGTGTCGACGTTCACGGATGACGAGGTCGCCCATGACAGGCCTCCGTTGTGGCCCGCGGGTAGGAGGAAGTGGTGTATCGTATTGCCAGACGGAGACCTCTATACCGAGTCAGGTGCGAGGGACGAGGACTGGGGGATGATCGGCACCGTCCCGCTCGATGATGTCGGCACGCTGCCGGCCCTTATCCCGATGAAGGTCTACCGCTTCCGTGAGTATCCGGACGCCGCTGGACTGAGAGAGTTGCCTCAAGATGGTCGGTTGTCTATGCGTGCCAAGCTCGACCGCGAGGCCCCCGAGGTGGCGATGATGCCGATCCCTATGTGCGAGCGAGTGCTGCTGGAGGACTTCTCTTCGGGCCTGCTGATGACACGTCGGGCGGCAGGGAGATTCTCCCAAGGCGGCCGCCGCCGCCTCGGCGAGGCGATCAGCCGGGCCCGCGGCCGCCCCTACGGGAAGCGATGGCCGCCCCCCGCTGGTTCCGCCGCCCACCGCGCTGTCGGGCCAGCTGGCGGCCGCGGCCGGCACGGATGTGGCCAGGGGCTATGTCTGGGTGTTGGCGGATCTCACTAGCAGACACACCATCGGCACAGAGATCGAGGGCGGCGCGCAGGTGTTACGGACGTCCAGGGGCCCCGACCACCTCGTGCAATTGGGCCTGGAGGACAGTAGCGAGACCAACGGGTCGCAGCACACGGTGGGCTGCCCGACGGCGCCCGTGATATCCAAGTGTGTGCTGCGGACTGGAGGGGTCCCTCACCTATGGCTGCGCGAGTGGATGCGTGAGAAGGGGATCGCCGAGGCGGACCGGGTCACACACGAGATGCGGACCCTCATGAAGTCCCTCTGGCTTGCGGGAACGACGGACCAGGACAACATCGGCGCCCTGCTGTGCATCGGGACGATATGTCGGCACTGGGCGGGCATCGTGGCGGCCTACGCCGGTTCAACCGAGCCTGCTTGTGACCTGACCCGCTACTTCACTGGCCAGATGCTGGCCGAGGACGCAGTCGGCCCCGAGATGCGCAGCTGCGTGCCCCGGCGGGCCGAGGAGGAGCGAGAGACCGATGCTGGCGGGCTGCGTGGATCTCCGGCCGAGTACGGCGTCGGTGGCTCTGCTGGCGACGGAGCCGACGGCGGAGGTGACGGCGGGGGAAGTCATGATGGGGAAGGACGTGGCGGGGACGGGCGCGGACGTGGCGACAGAGGCCGCGGACGCGGCGCCCCCCCCCGCTGCGGCATGAGCAGGGGGCTGGCCGAGGCAGGCCGTGTCGCGGCCATTCGAGGGCCACAAGATCTCTTCCCTGCGCCCCTGCTGGACGCGCCGCCGCCGCCGGTGGCCGCCTCGGCGGGAGCCGCGAGGGCAAGGCGTAGAGAGCAGCTGGAGATCGGAGTGGCGAATGAGGCGGCCAGTGCACTTAATTGGCTGGCAGGGTATCGAGCGGGCGAAGTACCCCTTCCCATGGATGATGCTCAGCGGCTTCTTCACGAGCGAGTTCGAGGATTGGCATCGGGCTGGCGCCCGGACTTCGCTCCCCCAGCGACAGCAGCCCTCAAGCGGATGCTGCGCGGCCACTCTCCGCATGAGGCGGGGGTGACCACCACTCGTGTCGCGCCCTTCAAGCTCGACCGCATTTCCTTGCCAAAGTCCATTCGGAGCTGCCCGCGTGCTGATGAGGTAGCCCCACAGGAGGTCGCTAAATACTTGTTGGATTATCAAGAGCGCATGCTGCTGCAAGACGAAGTCTTGCCCAAGATCGAGCCATACTTGGACCCCAATTAAAGTTCCATCAGAAGGAATACCAGCGTCTAGTTCAGAAGCTGTTCGACGTCGGCATGGTCGGTTGGACTATGAGCCCGAAGTGTCGGATAGGGTTGTTCTGCGTTCTCAAGAGCGATGGCAAGTCGCTCCGTTTGATTGTCGACGCTCGTCGCGTGAACGAGGTTTTTGCTGACCCACCCGGGGTGGACCTGCTGACGGCCGAGGGCTTCAGCCGAGGCGAGGTGGCGCTGCCGGCCGGCATGTCGCCACAGACCCCAGAGGCGGTGGAGTACCTCAGCAAGCTCAGGGAGCTCAGGAAGCTCAGGCTCGTGGCGGGCACGTCGGACGTGGCGAACTGCTTCCATTGCCTGAGGCTGAGGCCCGAGATGTCCGCGTACTTCGGCCTGCCTACGGCCCCCGCACACGTCTTCGGGCTCGAAGGGACTGCGACAGGAGGTCGGCGCCTGGGAAGAACATCGCCGGTGTACCCAGTGTGGGCTGCACTGCCAATGGGGTTAACCTGGAGTCTCTGGTTTGCCCAACGTATAAACGAGCTGCAGACCATGCGAGGCGCCTCTATTCCCCTGGGGGGGGGGGCCCTCCATGACAGAGGACCGCCCTTGACGGCGTTGCCGCCAGATACGGCCGCAGCTCAAGCACAGCGCTACGTGTACGTCGACAACCTCGGGATCCTGCACACCAGGCGCTACGAGGTCGGGGAGGCCATCTCGTCTTTGCAGCGACACTTCGCCGAATTGGGTCTGGTTTTACACGAGTCCGCGGCGACCGACGAGACGTGCAAGACGCTGGGCGTCGAGCTGCTTGGCAGGGGGCTCCGATCGCGAGTGACCTCGGATCGATGGTGGTTGATCCGCCGATCCATCGAGGCTCTCCTTCGACGCCCAAAATGCTCGGGTTGGGCACTGGAGGTTGTGGTCGGCCACTGCACCTTCGCCGGCCTCGCCAACCGAGGATGCCTCTCGGCGTGGCACACGGTGCACGCTTTCATGCACAAGTATCGCGATGGGGCCGGCCACCTCCGGGAGGAGTGCCTGCAGGAGCTTCGTGCGTTCAAAGGGCTCATGCTGTTCCTGGAGGAGAGCGACTGGGCGCGGCCGTGGAACCCGATGGCCTTCGAGACTGATAGCTCCGTCGAGGAGATGGGCATCGCCAAGGCCACGTGAGACCCGGGGGACGTCGCCGCCGTGGGCCGGGCGCTGGAACGCTCACGTTTCAAGCGATCGGGTGGCTGCGGAGCCCGCGAGTCTGCCCTGGGGGCCGCAGGCTTCTGGCGCGACACGTCGGGCAAGTGGCAGGTGTCCGACTTGGACGCAGACCCGAGAGCCGAGGGCGCCTGGACGCTAGATTCCAGTTTTGCCGAGGTGCCAGCCAGGCTCTTCTCGTCCAGCCTTTGGCGCACTTGCTATGTACGTAAGTGGTTGTTCGATGAAAACATTGGCATGGGACTCCCGTGGGCCACTCTCTTGGCCAAATTTCATGGTGGGTTGCTCTTGCTCCTGCTCCTCCTGTTTGTCTGCATGCATGTCCTCCTCTTTGTTTGCATTGCATTGCATTGCAGACGCATAGCGTTGCAATCGCACTCTTCCCTCCCATCCTCGCAACAGGACCCCTTTGGAAAACATTCCAAAGGGATTCCAGTGGAACGCCTCACAGCAGGAATCCTTTGGAAACCGCAACAAAGGGATTCGATTGGAAAGCGCCACACAGGGATGTGGGAAGCGAAAAACCAAAAAAACACAAGGAAAAACCAAAAAAACCAAAGAAACCAAACACCAACAGCCGAAAAACCAAAAAAACACAAGGAAAAACCCAAAAAAACAAAAAAAAACCAAAGTTTACAACACTTTCGCTGTCAGGGCGGTGGGGGTGGACGAAGTATCGAAATCTTTGTTTTTTTTGGTTTTTTTGGTTTTTCCTTGTGTTTTTTTGGTTTTTCGGCTGTTGGTGTTTGGTTTCTTTGGTTTTTTTGGTTTTTCCTTGTGTTTTTTTTGGTTTTTCGCTTCCGCCACCCCTCCCCCTGGGGAGCGGGCGGCTCCAGGAGGCCCCAGGAGGCCCCAGAGAGGCCCCAGAGAGGCCCCAGGAGACCCCTGGAGGAGACCCAGGAGGGAACCCAGGGGCATCGCAAATTCAATGTCCCTTCGATGCCCCTCCCCTCTCCTCACCTCTCTCTCCCTCAACCAAGTTTTCTGGTTACCCTCTCTTTCGTGCCCGCCATCCCCTTCCCGCGACGGCAGCAGACTCAAGGCCCAGCTGGTTGCTGAGGATGGGTGCCTTTCGGGTGCCTTGCGGGTGCCTTGCGGGTGCCTTAGCAATTAGCGGAGTGCATTGCGAGTATACACGTGCCGCGCAACTCCCCAAATATACCATTCAGAAGGGGGAAACGCTCGAGAATTTTTTTTTTGGGTTTTTTTGTTGTTGCCGTTGCATATGAACGGAAAGCGAAGCATTTCTCGTTAAGTGCAAAAATCAGATTTGAAGAAGTATCATAATCATTATGACGTTGTGCATTTTTACTATCGGCGTCGACCCCCGAATTCTGAGGATGGGTGCCTTTCGGGTGCCTTGCGGGTGCCCTTCGGGTGCCTTTCGGGTGCCTTGCGGGTGCCCTCCGGGTGTTTTTCGGGAGCCGTGCGGGAGCACTTCGGGTGCTCTTCGGCCGTCTTCGGGTACCTTTCGGTAGCCAGCAAGGGGCTTGGGAGGAGGCGGAAGAGAAACCCAGGATCCCAAGAGGAACCTAGGAACCCAGGAGGAACCGAGGAACCCAGGAACCCAGGAGGAACCCAGGAACCCAGGAGAAATCCAGGAACACAGGAGGAACCCAGGAACCCAGGAACCTTGGAGGAACCCAGGAAACCAAAAGAAACCCAGGAGGAACCCAGGAACCCAGGAGGAACCCAGGAACCCAGGAGGAACCCAGGAACCCAGGAGGAACCAAGGAACCCAGGAACCCAGGAGGAACCCAGGAACCCAGGAGAAATCCAGGAACACAGGAGGAACCCAGGAATCCAGGAACCTTGGAGGAACCCAAGAAACCAAGAGAAACGCAGGAGGAACCCAGGAACCCAGGAGGAACCCAGGAACCCAGGAGGAATCCAGGAACCCAGGAGGAACCGAGGAACCCAGGAACCTAGGAACCCAGGAGGAACCCAGGAACCCAGGAACCCAGGAGAAACCCAGGAACACAGGAGTAATCCAGGAATCCAGGAATCTTGGAGGAACCCAGCGTTTCCTGACCCCCCTCGCTGCTCGTAGCTGTTTGGGCCCAATCGCAACGCCGAGCGTGCGCCTTCTGGCAAACCCTCAGCGTCATTCAAGACCGCGGCATGGCCGCTTACGAGGACCTGAAATCGGCGACCGAGGGCTGGTATTGCCGCCCTCTTCCTGCACCAATGGTAACGGGCGTGCTGCCCCGTGGAGAAATCGAGCCTTTTCTCGAACTCACGGACGACATCGGGGCCAACGAGAACCCACTGGTGCACTACATTGATTTCATCACGGGGCATAGAGACCCAGTCCCCCCCGAGCTCGACGAGCAATACAAGGCGGCCTGGAAGGACGACAGCTACCACAATCTGCCGCCACCGTTCGGGTTCAAGACGGCGCCGCAACACCACATGACGCTGCAGATTTGTATCCTTGACGCCCCCGACGGCACGAAGACCATAATCAAACACTGCGTCATCCCCAACAAGGCGAAGACGGCCGTCTTCGCCAGCATGGCTTTCGGGAGCGTCAAGAAGCTCTGCTTCCAGCATCCCAAGGTGCACGATTGGGGAAACAAAAGGGTGGCGAGGGCGCGGCGCCCTCGCCATTTTGTTTTTTCGATCGCGCCGCCAGGTGGGGGTCAAGGTCTGGCAATACGCCTTCGAGCGGTTCGGAGGCAAACAGTGTCGGGCTTTCTTCTTATCGCCAGACGTCAAGACGGCCACCAAGGTGAACGAGTTCTACGAGCTCTCGGACGAGGATATAAACGCTGGCTTCGAATACATCCTGAAGAACGCGCCTCGCTCCACGGCCGAGCTCAAGCAGCTGGTATGGCAGACGAAGGCGCTACGCAAAGGCGCCCCCCTCTACGGCTGGCCCGCCCCCCTGGTGGCGAAGGCGTTGAGCGGGCTCGCGGCGGAGGGCGCGCTTGCAAAGAAGGAGTTCGAAAACAACGTGATCCTCTGCGAGGACCACTTCAACCTTCGCGTTCTCGAAGCCATGCAGGAGCTGATCAACAGCAACGATTCGCTTGTCCTCATTGGGGAGCCCAACATCGGCAAGACGCCGCTCGGGCGCGCATTCCTGATGGCAATGTGCCGCAGGAACGCGCGGGTCCACGGATTGGACCCCGCGGGTTGTTGCATCCGCGTCACGCCTGAGATCGATTTCTTGCGAGGCGAGCCCGGCGACATTCTCATGGGGGACTTTGTGGACGATGGCTGCTTGAATCTCCTCCCGCCCAAGATGGTGAAGGCCTTGCTCGACGTCGGCCAGTACGAGAGCATGTGCTGGGCCAGGTGGGGCGCAACGAAATGGAAGAAGGGGGAGCCTCGGTGCTTGGCGGACCAGACTTACGATCCGAATGCCGAGAAGCTGGACCGCTGGCCCTCCGTGAAGTTCCAGGAATTCTTCGAGCTCGTGCGCCCTGCCTTCTCCGAGAAGGCGACCCGCGCATGCATGCTGGCTTTCTTCAAGCGTTCTGCGTTTCTGGTGAATACCCAGGAATACCTCTACTGGCGCCCAGCAGGCACTGAGGAGAAAGATGTTCCGCGCATTAACTTCAAGGGCGAGACCTTCCTGACGGCCGAGGGGAAGCGCCTGTACCTACTGCAGAAGGACGGCGACATGACCCCGCCCGCCAATATCCAGCAGCTCTTGGAGAAGGAGCGGCTCCTCGTGGACTCCGCCGTGGAGAAGAACCGCAAGAAGTCCTCAGACGCGGCCCTCGGTTCTTTGCCAGCCCCGTCGTTCGTCCAGGTTTGGGGGTTCAAAGATGCGGCCCTGCGGGGTGGGGTCCTAGGGCTGAGGGAGCACTTCAACGCGTTCTGAACGCTGAAACGCTGCCTCGGCCTTGGCGGACATCATCTTTGAGCCCCTCCCGACAGGTGAAGCGAGAGCGCGTGTCCCCTGAGCGCCTGACGTTTCGGAAGCGCCTGCTCTCGGGGATGACGCTCAATGTCGACAGCCCGTCCCCCGCCAAGCAACATGCCGCGGCGTCGTCCACTGCATCTGGGCCCGCGGCCCCGCCCCGCGACGATCTCGAGGTCCAGCTCTCGCAGATGCTGGCCGAGGAGGGGGCGCCCGCTGTGCCTGCGATGCCCTCGGCTGCGGAGGAGGACGAGGCGCACGCTTTCCTCGGTTCTCAGAGTCAGGAGTGAGCGGGCGGCCGCGAGAGCGCGGGCGGGCAGGTGCGGCGCGCGGGTTTCGCGGGCAGCGATGGCACCCTCAGCTCGGGCGCTGATGCCGCGCGCGCTGCCGAGGTGGCGCGCGCCGCTGCGCCCCAGATGAGCTGGGGGCGCGCGCCGCCAACATGTTGTGTCTTGATAGGGTTATCCACAAGTACCGCGCGTTATCATGCCATTTTCTTTTGCCGTTCTAAGAAATCCAGCCGCCCCCGCAGACGTCGTCGTCGTCGCCGCCGCCGCCGCCATCGCCGTCCATCCGGTATGGTTGCTGTCATCGCCGCAGCCGTTTCTTGGCCGAATCGGCAGCCAGAGCCGCGGGTGCCCGCGCCTCTCGCGCACTGCCTCGCCCGTGCTATCGCGCCTGGAGCCAGGGATGACCGTCCACCGTCGCCCCGCCGCCTCCGAGGCCAGGGGTCGAAGCCGCGCGCGAGGGCAGCGCTTCCCCCAGAAGCGTCGCAACAAGCGGTCGGTGCAGGCCGCCTCGCGCCGCCGCGACATTTTGGCCAAGGCGCGGAAGGCGCGCAAGGCGGCCCAGGCCAAACGCAAGCGCTTGGAAGCCACGGGCGTGTTCTACACGCCCAAGCGCCAGCGGGTGTCCCGCGTGCGGCGCGGCAGGTCTTCCTTAGCCAAGATCTACACGTACGAGGACCTCAGGGCTCTGAAGACCAAGGATGCTTACGACTTGATGGTCCAGGCGGGGTACCTCGGCGACCCCTCCGAGAACGTTTGCCCCAGGTGCGGATGGCCATTGGGTTCGGTGATTCACAGGGGCG